CTTTACATTTTGGCATAACTTATCTGTATATATGATTTTGATTTGCAAAACAGAAGCAAACGCCTTATGGGTATTTAATTGCAGACTCATAAAAACTGATTTGAAAAGAGATCCTTACTTGTCCTCTACGTGTTTCACAATTGTGCAGGTAGTTCAGGTGGTAGATCTTGAGGTTCAAAGACGCAAAATTTAGATACTTTAAAAAAAGCTGTAAAGAGTGGGAAAAGAAAAAGAGAAGACAGCTGTTGGTATCATTGCTATACTGATCCACTGGCAATGAAGTGAGTTTGATCCTTCTAAAACATTAGCTTCACATGGAAAAAGCAGGCTTTGATCTTACTGGCTTTCTTGTGGAAAGAGAGATAACGCTGCAATGCATTAGGGTACCTGATCCATTTTGAGTGCCATACCAACTACAATATTTACTTCAAAAGACTAACTGAAACACTTTACTCCATAGTATTTTGTTACAGTATTTAGTTAATAGCCAAACAAATACCTCTGGATTACCCTTTCACAATATTTCCTGTTAGATTATAAAAATGTATGTCAATGTTGAGTGTTTCAAGATTGGTTGCAGCACATAGAGGGATGATTTCACATACTGTATCACGATAAAAGATATGTCCTAAACCAAATGTAAAATAGCTGGTATTTAACCTAGAAATTGCTCATATCAAAAAAAGAGAAATGTTAATTAAATTCCTTCTAAAGTCCTCCCAAAAATAAATTCCAGACAGTTTCTGTTTCTGTATTTTATAAATATGTAAAGTATTGCCCCATAAAACACTGAATATTTACTGGTAAGACATTTTGATAACAAACCGAAAAGAAAATACATGCTGTATACACTGGGTAATATTTTAGACACTGTTTCTCTTTTAACATTTTTAAGTTGAGATGAAATTAAGAGGTTTGTCCTAGAAAAAGGCAAATTATAACAAAACTTCATAATATTACAGTTATTAAGCTTGAATTGTAATTCTTTTTCAATTATTTCAATAATCAAAAATCAGCAATTGCAATTACTACTTTTTTGCAGGAGTGCACAATTTTCCCATCTAAGTTAATTGCAGTTGGCTATGACTCCTTTTAAAGAGCCTTGAAACAGACAACCTACAGTAGTTTAGCTGATGACGTACAGTAAATGTAACTGTAGCCTGGCCTTGAGAAACACTGAACACCAAATACAGGAGGCCCATACTTATTCTTATACACAGAAGAGGTACAGTAAAGGCACAACAGTACTATTGTTGTACTGTGATATTTTGATATAAATGTAGATAGCATTGCATACATTGATGTTTTAACAGACCACTTAACAATTGAAAACCCAAAGATTTCACTTTGTACTCACATCCTCATCTTCCTCGGTGAAGTAAGGCCCGTCTATTTTGTTCACTGCCATTATCACTGCCACCACATCCTTGCCATTCATGATTGGGGTGGCCAGAATGTTTCTGGTTTTGTAGTCTGTGAGATCATCCACAAATGGGCTGTATTGGCTGCACTGGTTTCCAAGACCAAGGAGAGAGATTTGTTAAAATCATTTTCAGAAAAGGCCTTCCAAGACCGTTTCCATTTTAAAAGAACATTAAGTATGTACTTACTGAAAACTAAAAAGAATAAATCATCATAAAAGTATTTTCCAGGCATTGCTTTTTTTTTGCAAATTATATCATTCCAGTACCTAGAAATATTCTAGAAAATTTCAAAGCAGCAGAGGAGGCATCTTGCTAGTATTTCCATAGGCCTAAGAAATGTTCTCCTAAAGTATAAGTCTGTCTTTTGATCATAGTTTTGAATAATGCAGGGATACATAGGGATAATTGGGATACAATTATGCAAGGCATTTTTCATTATACTGTAGTTCTAATAAACCCAAATACATCTCTCAGTGGTCATGCTTGTGTCATTGTACAACACACTCTTGATTCAGTGATTAACTGTGTACTTATTCTGCAATAATAGCCATATATTCTGTGTTGCAAGTAATAATTGTGGTTCACATAAATTATTATTGAAGACACTAGGACCATTTACATATTTTTTGCATTTTTTCGAAATAACATTTAGTTACAACTTAATGAGAACAATAAGTTAAATTAAAAAAAATTCTAACTATAGGGTGTCCATTGGGCCTTATACCTTAATTATCTAAAAGGTAACTTAAGGGTGACATATTAAATTCAGAATTTTAAAATCAGAAGAGTTATTGAAATAACATACACATTTCAGACTCAATAGATTCACTATAAAGAACCATAGTAGGACACATTTTCAAATGACAAAAACATCAAGCCCCATTACAGACATCACTCATTCAAACAACACAGGAAAAATGGACAATAGTCACACTTTCATGTTCTCCCATTAGCAGGTACTATGATATGTTTCGGGACTTTAATATTGTTTGCACCGCATTTCATTGAAACCAGCAAGCACTTGTCTATAAATTTGTCTAATGCGTTCTGGACATTAATAACTTCCTTCTAGAAATATTAACAATAAATGATTTCCTTCACTTGAACTCTTCCTGTTTATACACACACCTAAACACCATATGCAGCAGGTAGGCCTGCAGCACAAGAGCTGATCCACTCCGCAGTGGAAGAGCAGTGAGTCACAAACATCGCCGCATAATTTGTAAAATCAGTTACTAACAACAATATACAAAACAGATATATCCTCCTCTCTGCTTCAACCTTTACAGATAATGTAGTGGTTATGCAGGCTCTTTGGCAAAGAAATTAAGAAACTAAGAATGTTTATGAATGATAAAAATTATTTCAGCATTATAACAACAGAAGAACTGCCAAGGAAGGAATGAAATATTACCTGGATAAAAATAGCAAATGAAATTAAATGGAAATGACTGACATACCAAATACGTTTTGCACTCAGGTTTTAACCAAAGAGGAAATCAACAACAGGGATCAAAGGTATCTTACTAATTGTACTCAGGGAATTGAGACATTTTATTCAGAAATTAGTGATCCAACACTTCCAACAGGGCCTTAAGACAGGGTTAGAATCCGAGGACTAAAAAAATGCTAATGTAGTACCCATCCTTAAAAAGGGTGAAAAAACTGAAGCTCTCTTCTCTTACATGTACGTTAAATGAAATGATCATAAGAAGTAAACTAGATAATCACCTATATGGATCACCTACAGTACTGTATAACTAATATCCTAGAAATAGTAAGCGTGGGTTAAGAAATATATCTTGCCTAACCAATATGTTAGAGTTCTTTAAACAAACAAAAACAGTAATGCAAAGGACATATGATATGGTATATCTAAATAGTCAGAAGGTATTTAATCCCCATAAAGATTAATTCCTAAATTGCAGACAACAGGCATTCAGGGAAACATCAGTGTTTGGATTGACAATTGAATATTAGAAAACAGAAAACAGAGGGTACAGATAAAGGGTGAATACTCAGAATGTGATGATGTTATTAGTGAAGTACCACAGGGGTCAGTATTAGGACCTGTTGTTCTTAATTTATATCAATGATGTAGACTCAGCTATCTAACCTTATTTTGTAACTGGCTTCTATCTTCTACTAAACCAAAGTAGAATTCACACAGAATGATCCACAGTTCACATTTGTAGGTTGTTTTATCCCAAAACCCTTGTATAACAATTTTTCTGAAATAATAAATAAAAAAAACATAATAATGTAAAAAGTAATTTAAAAAAGAATTTGTCAGAAACATAATCTTCTCACAAGATCCAGCAGCATCCTAAACTTTTGCTGTTCACCAAATCTGTATGGTTATCATCTGAAATACTGTATTTCTGATAACAATATTATACAAATCCACATGCCCAGTCTTTGCTGACCCATTAATAACATAATTAATTTAGGTATAACTGAAGCAGGACTGATAATCCCATATATTATATTAGGGTCGGAGGACATGGCAGAAACAAATGAGATTATCCCAATAGGATTGTCATCATCTCCATTTATTTTTGTATCTTCTAAATGCCAAAGACATCTAATCAACATAGACATTCTATTTAATGTAGTACAAGGCAACTTAAAAATCATAGCTCATGAACACTTATAGATTATCCAAAGAAATTGTATTTTATCAGCAAAAAAGTGATTATTTTAGTCTTGCAACACATGCAGCATAGTGTTGTGGTTAAGGCTACTCGTTCTGAATTGGCATAAAACACAGTTACGATGCTGCTGTTGAAAGATAGAAAAAGGTACTTAATTGTACTACTGTATCTGCTCCAGTGAATTCCCTGTCATCACTATAAATGAGAGTGATGTATTTTCATTCTAGGGAGGAGAATTGAGTTTTTAATGTGTTGATATTACTATACTATACTTTTAATGTATAAAGTTTGTCAAATTGAAGTATTTTATAATCTATAAAAAATTACATAAAACTCAACCCAGTGCATTAGATGAAGATCACACAAGACTTTTCTTTAAATGAGAAAGATAATATTAATGTCATATTTACAGTAGTTCAATATTTAGAACATACAGTATGTAAACAAAAGGTTGCTGTCAGAAAACTACTTCTGCTCATACTGTATTTATACCGTATGCTGTATTCACCAAATTGTTGATAATTATGGGGCTTTTGCAAAAACATTCAACTAACATTTGATAAAATGTCTATTTCTTTTGTCTTCTAATTTAATTGAGCATTTGAAGTGCCTTAATGCAATTTCAAATGTAAAATACAGCACATTATGCAGTTCTTCCTATAAATCTGTTCTTTTGCACAGGTGATAATCAATTATTCTACGCCCTTGTCACATGGTTTACATAATAGAACCCCTCGTAGCTGCTTAATCTGGAATTAATAACTGGTGAATGGATTATAGCTATAATGGGTAAAGAGTTTAAAGGTAACCCCTTTATTTTTGGCTAGATAAGTTAGAAATACTTGTCCTGTTTCTCAGTCGAACTAAATGGAAGCACTTTAGTAGATCTTAAACATTTAACCAAAGAAAAAAAGGTAATTCTGTAATTACAGAATAAAGTGCTGTAAATTCACTAGGCACACATTTAAGAATTCAGAATTATTTGCCAGGACCCTGTATTCTATATTAGAGTTAATAGGGAACATAGGCCCAACTGTGCATTGCTTAATTAAATAACTATCTAATCCAAATCCTTTCTATTTGCTGTATGACTATTGCAACACCAAAGAACATGCTCTTGTTTATGAAAAAATCCATATTCCAACACTAGGATCAATCTATGGACTGTAAGTAGGATTTTTTTTAAATGTCAAATCAAAACCTACCTGTGAAACATCCTTAACATTAATAGTTTTCTTGCTTTGGGCAACGTTTCCTACCACCCCAATGTCCAGTGGGAAGACTATCTCACTGTCTGGCTGCACTAGGCAATCTTCCATGACTGCGTCCTTATTGACGTTGAAAAGCCGGGTAGCCAGCTCGGCTATACCATTCCTTTGACGGTACATAAAGAGACTACAGCGGTCCGCATGGATGAGGAAGCTGATCCTCCTGAGGGTCTTGAAGACAACTTTCTCCATGTTGATACTCTCCTGCATGTCTCGGATGAGCTCAAACAAAATTTCGCTTTCCTCCACCTGGCTGAGTTCCTTAAAAGAAGTGAAATCCACCTGCACCTGTGTTTGGCCAAGAATGGCAGAAATTGCCCCAGGCTTCAACTTTTTATCAAAGTAATGCTTGGTGAAATCCGGGTTTCCATCAAGGAATTTCTCCACGTCTTCCTGAGTGACACTCATCTTGGTTTTGGGATCTTTAACCCCAGTCCTCTGCTCTGTTGTGTATGCGGTGAAATTTCCTAAGAGGCTTTATTAAATAAATATTAAGAAGGAAAACAGGTATATAATCCACAAATTCCAAGAAAAAGAAAAAGTTACAGGACACCCAGCTGTGAATCCAGGCACCTGCAGCAGCAGGGACAAGCAATGTCCAATCCTACTGTCATCAGCAAGGTATTTTGCTTAATAGTGTTGAAGGTGAACTCTGGGCTGGAGCGGATCTTCTCATGCAAAACTGATCAGGTGACCTGCCCCAAAGCTGACACCCAAGCCTTCAGGAATATTGCTTTTTCCTTCTCTCAGTGTGCATTGGGAATATTATTTTAGCAAAACTGTATTAAATCTGATTCCATGCACCACATCTGAACCCAAAATGGCTTTTGAAAAACCTGGGTCCACAATCTGGTTGGCTTTCACTGCCCATTCTCCCAGCTTGCCTTGGCTCACAAGCTCTTTATGTTCCTAATCAAAAACACACTCCTTATTCCTAATCCTTATTTAGCCCGGCTACTGTCTGATTATTTCAGCACCTGGAAATTCTTGTAGGGATCATGCAGGTTCATGGTTTGTTTTTAATTGAAAATAAAAATCAATCAACAATGTATTTTTAAATACTTCTCAGAAAAGTTACTCTTTTTAAATGTCAGGTAGAGCAATCTCAGATTTTTGCCCTTATCTAGATCAGAGACAGCAATGCCCATGTTTACGTCACCTAAAGTTAATTATCTGTTAAAAATGGGTTTTCAAACATTTTGATTCAGTGCAATACTTGCTCCATTTATAAGGGCTAAAATGAATATAATCATATTTACAAATGATAAATTAAAGGAAAAATAACATAAGTAATTTAATATTTTTTTCCCAAACAGTATTTGTCTGTTTCAAGGTTTTACAAATATATTAATAAAAAGGGGGCTGGAAATTATGCGCTGGTACAAAGGGTTTCAACAATTAGTTGAACTACAGGTAGAGCAGTATATCCAGCTCAATTAGAATTAAAATTAGAAATGCTGGAAGTAACATATTAAAATGTATTCAATTTGTAGTCAAACAACCATTTATATTCCATTTCATCTGAGATTGTGAAATGAAATCTTAATTATGTTTTGTATGCTGTTTAATTGTTTTACAAGAGTGTCATTAAGGTACAACACTAAAGACACTCAGTAGTTCCGTGTTTCATTTTACGTTAAGATATAGATTTTTTAATGTATATATTGGCTTTTCTCTTTTTTCTGGCATGCATGCATAATGTATACATAAAACTGGATAAACACTGATGTGACTTGGAGTTTTCTATTAAAAGGTGTTCATGTATAGTAAATGGAAGCATTCCAAAGCTTTTGTATCATCACTGCAATTATATACTATAGTCTTCAGAGTGATATAAATTCAATAAAAACTGTGTAAAAATTACAAATCACTTATTCAAAAACAATTCGTCCATTTTCACCAGAGGCATTTCTGAATTTCTCTGAAGTGCAATTTTGTAATCATGTAATTCTCTTCTTGGCCTCCTGGGGCACTGAAATATGGCATTGTCTTATGTGAGGCCTGTTCATCTACTGAAGCAAAAGCTGTACAATTCCCAGAGTTCTTTTATATTGGCACACTCAGTATTGTAGCCTGCCTCTATTCAGTTTGAACCCTCCCAAATGTCTTAACAGATGGGTGCTGCAATTCAGCCTAACAGACTTACATATTGAGTATCAATTGTCATTTCATTATTGTTATTGTTAACCGTTCAGTTTAACAAAGTGCAAATTACATACTAAAATATCCTACTATTATACATTCTATAAATAACATATTCGAATATTTTAAATTCCATCCCATCCTTCGGATGAGACGTAGAACCGAGGTCCTGACTCTCTGTGGTTATTAAAAATCCCAGGGCATTTCTTGAAAAGAGTAGGGGTGAAACCTCGGCATCCTGGCCAAATTTCCCATTGGCCCTTTTCAGTCATGGCCTCCTAATAATCCCCATCTATGAATTGTCTTCATTACTCTCCTCTCGTCCACTAATAGCTGATGTGTGGTGAGCGTTCTGGCGCACTATGGCTGCCATCGCATCATCCAGATGGGGCTGCACATTGGTGGTGGTGGAGGGGAGTCCCCATTACCTGTAAAGCGCTAAGCGGTATATAAGTGTAAGCAATTATTATTATTATAAATGCTGATAAACTGAAAAAAAAAATCTGTACCAAAAAGATACTTTACACAAACACTACATATAATAATAATAATCTTAACAAACTGCATTTACAGTATATACTGTAGCACTGTTCATCCAAAAGGATCCTATGGTGCTTTACACATAAGATATGATCCACTTAAATGTAGCACACACCTGGTTTTCATGTACCAGCCATTATAATAATAATTGCTTACACTTAAATAGTGTTTTTCTGGACAACTCAAAGAGCTTTACAGGTAATTGGGATTCCCCTACACTAACACCAATGTGCAGCATTGCCAGAAAGCTCACCACACATGAGCTATTAGTGAGGAGGAGAACAGAGAAATTAAGCCAATTCATAGAGGGGGATTATTACTAGGCCATAATTGATAAGGGCCAATGGGAAATTTGGCCAGTACGCTGGGGTTATATCCCTACTCTTTTCAAGAAAAACCTTGGGATTTTTAATGACCACAGAGAGTCAGGAACTCGGTTTACGTCTCATCCGAAGGACAGCACCTTTTTTTTAGAGTATAGTGTCCCTGTCGCTACACTGGGGCATTAGCACCCACACAGACCACAGGGTGAGCGCCCCCTACTGGCACCTCTAACACCTCTTCCAGCTGCAACCTTAGCTTTTACCAGGAGGTCTAAGGAAAAAGGAAAATATCTTGGCAGGTACTGTATTTCAGATCACCTGGGCTTATCTATGCTGTTAAGGTCGTCACAGGGCAATGCATACTCTAGAAGACTGAACCAATATGTGTGTCCTACCAGCTTGTGTTTATGACTTGATCTTCAGTACCAGAGAACAACCATGTTGTACATTATTACTAGTATAACATACTTAAGTCATATTCATACACAGAAGCAATTCATAGGCATTCCGATAATCCATATCTAATGGATACATCTTCCATTTTCAGACGTTTTCAGAAAACGCAAGTAAAGATGGGCAGGAATACAGTCCAAAAAAATGTGAGGTGTAAGATAATACAATGATAATTCTTATATTTAGAACATACATACTAAGGGAGTTCTGAAGTCTAAAATAAGGTCCTTTAAATACCTTAGTCAAAAGGTCAGATGGATAAACCGGATTTTATTAGTCCTCATACATATACGAATGATTAAGCAATGTACTTAACTCCAATGAGACATACAGAGCTCGATTAATGATGCTCACTACTCATAATAGTGCAAAAGAGATACATTTCCTTTGATACACCCAGAGATCAGTAAGAACACCTACAGTAGATTAGCTAAGCATGGTTATGGCAATACTACATAAGAATATTTTAGACTGATTTTTGCTAAAGCTACACAATGTAAATTATTAATGGTAGTTAGTGCTTGGTTGATTTCTGCTTGTCGTCATGTGGACTGAAGTTCATTGTTGCTGCTTTAAATTTACTGATTAGTAGTACCATGTGATTGTGAGAGCCTGTGCAACTCAAAGCAGACATTTGGAGATTCAAGGTTCTCCTGTTTTTTTGCTGTTGATGATGTTTATGTGACTGAGTTGGTAACTAAATTGAACTAAACTGCCTGTGTCTTGGAACTGTTCTCATGGTTCTACTTTATCAGTTTGTTTCAGATTTGTTGTCTGTAGAATACAGGATACATTGGTTCTCGAGGAAATTTAGAGTGGATCTCCTTAAAAGCACTTAAAAGACACTTAATAATCACATTATCTTAAGGTGTTATTACATGACTATAGTCCAACTCTTAATCTGAGAATTTCATATCCTGCCAAAGAATATTTGGGTGGGATAGACTACCTCTATGCAGCATTACATCTACAGTATGGAACTCACTGCCCCCAAAGTATTGGAGACTCTACTACTATCTGTTTAAAAACATCACAGTAAATGAGACTGCTGAGCTGTTCACTTGGTTTGGTCAGAGTCAGGATCAGCAAATAACTGATCAGTGTGACTTGTTTGAAGTGTTCTGTGGGGAACAATACATTTTATGTTTGCAAGGCTTTTCATATTTATTTTACATGTTCAATTTTTTAAATGTAAGGACAAATCCAAAATCTTGTCTCCTGAAACCACGTCTCCCAAGGATCATGAAGTTACAATGTCACTTATTCATAAAGCATGCAATAGACATTTTAACTTAAAGGAGACAGCTTGACTGTGACAGCTCTTTGGGTAGTGGTAATAGAAGTAGGAGGGGTGGTTATTTGATGATGAATTAAGTGTATTTATGTACACTAGGTGGCAGTATTCCCAAAGCAAAGACCAAATCAACGACAGGCAAAATGTGAATTGAGAGTGGAAACACAGCTTGCGTGGGTCCTGGAACTTTTTACCTCTTTTACTTTTCCAAAAGAAGAGGAGGGATTGACATCTTCTTGTTCTGCCCCACCAGGTCCCCATCAAAGCTGGGGCCAGGTGTAGTTACATCCATCACTTCCCTTGATGAAGCATCAGATGTTGAGTAGCACTGTTCTAAATATTAGGGCATAGCAATCATGTAGATAGAGATGCACTGCATTAACTTTTATTTTAGATAAAGTACCTTTAGAGTACAGTAACTGCTGTACGTTTGGAGTTTAGGTGGTTTAGCAGATATAAAGACATGAATTAAGTCGTATGTTAAGACTGAATTTGATACACTTGTTTCTGTTGAAAGTAATGCTTACTGCATATCTTCTTCTAAAACTGAGATGTATGACCCATTTTCTGACAAGGATAGACTGTTAAATATTTCAAGCACCATTATAACACCCATCCTTCCATTTTCTAATCACCCATTCTTCCATTTTCTAATTGCTTTATCCAATTGAATGTCACAAGGGAGCCAGAGCCTATCCCGGCAATAAATGGGTACAAGGCAGGCTACACCCTGGATGATATGCCAGTCCATCACAGGGAGCACACAAACCTACATTATAAGAGGAAACCAGAGCATTTCAGAATCACCCTAATTGTAACATTAGTTCCTGTGTGTTAAGAAGAAGGTTGTGTTCAGTTTGTTAGGGATTCCCTAAATTTCAAAGGTACTGCAGAGCTTTCAATTCTAGAGATGAATCTGCTTCTAAGAAAGGTATATTTCACACTGGAAGGAAGAATATTGAACCAATTATAAAATTAGGAGATACAGCCTTTTACTCTGAAAATAAAAGAGTGATTCCCTCTAACACCCTGTTATAAACCATTATTCTACTGGGGCTTTCATTCATTTAACAGTTAAGCAGCTTCAATAGTACCTCAGCTCTCTGGCATGTTATTGGCAAGGCACACCAGCTACTGGTGTGTTCATCTACCAGCAACAATACTCTGGAGGGAGGGATAGCCAAAGAGTAAAAGACTTAAATTGTATTG